TTAAGGTTAGGACGTGACATTAGAGTTAGGATTAGGAAGTTCAAAAAGAAAGGTTTGTTAGGAAAGCAGGCTGCAGATCACACTGCCAATAACTACGTAACATTTTTAATAAGTTGTATAGAATTAGAATTAGTTCATAATATTAAAGTAAGCAACCTATAAATAATGATAAAAAATTAAGAAAAAAATCTCTCATATTTATTATTCATTGTGAAATAATTAAATGTAATACTATACTAAATTAAAAATAAAATATCAAGCTCAAAAAAATTGGAATGTAATAGCGTAACACTTGCTTCAGATATTCAATGGTCTCCGTTGGTTACCTAGTATTAAGTTTCATAATTATAAGGTAAGTAAACAATTATAAGATTATTGTATTAACCTAAACTATTTTTTTTTTAGCTATATTTAGTTCTTTTTCAATTAATGTAAATTTCTTTAAAAAAAACTAGTTAGCAGATATTTTAATAATATAAGTATTAAAATATTTTTTTTTGTGAATCCTCTAACCATTTTTATTTTTAAGATATAATAATTATATATGTAATAGTCATATAATTATATAAATTTTATTTAAGATTTGTAAAATAAGTAAAAAGAAAAAAAATGTAAATGGTTAAAAAAAAAAGAAAGAGAATATTTTAAAATATTTAAAAGAAGAACAAAAAGATTAATATTATGAATGGGTAAATGAAGATTGACTAAATTGACATAAGTAATATATGTGATATGTTAGACATATGTGGCATAACTGAGATATTTGACATAATTGACATATTAGATATAGTTGATATATTAGACATAGTTGACATTAGTTATATCTTTCTATGTAAATTATTTTATATAAATAAATAGTTTTTTAGTTCATATAAAGAAAGACAAATAAGAATTTGACAAGTTAATTTTAGTAGTTTTAGAGGCAACTGGCCTATTGCATTATATTTTAGTTTTAGTAATTCGTTTCTTTTCTTTTTTTATTTTCTTTTCTTTTATTTTATTATTTTTACTTGTGAATAAACATACTATTTTATAAATATAATTACTGGCAATCTGTTGAATTACAGTTCATTGTAATAGTCTAAACACTTTTGATAAACTGTCTGAATTAAAACTTGTAAACTGTTAAAAGATTACTGTGCAATTAAAAAGAATAAACCGCTTGAACACCCTATCTAACAGTTGTAGTTCGTAAGAATTATACGTTAATAATATAATTAAAATATGATTTGGCTTAAAATATTATTAAAATATACTAATCAATATTTATATAATTTATAAATTATAGTAAGTATAATATTATATAATTAGAATGATAATATTATATAATTTATGAATTATATTAATTATATTATCATGTGATTAGAATAATAATATTGTATTCACTATAAATAAATATTTTTTTTATTTTATTATTAATTATTTTATTATAGAATTTAATTAAAATATAGCAAAAAAAAATATATAAAGTTAAAAATTTACAAAAGAATATTATTATATAATATTATTATAAAATTTAAATTTACCAGATAAGAAATAATTAATTGAATAAAATGTTATTATAAATAAATTATTAATCAAAAATTAAATTACAAAATACAAATAAATTATTAGCTAAAGGATAAATTATTTATGAAAACTATATAAAAAAAATAATAAAAGATTTATCAAAGAAAAAGGATAAAATACTTATTAAAGAAAAAAGATAAAATATTTACTGAAAAAAAAAAGATAAATCACTTACCAAAATGAATAAAAAAGAATAAATTATTACTGAATAATAAATAATATTAAAATAAGATAATAAAAAAATCTTTAAAAATATTTTATAATACTAGGTAATAAAAACTATTAAAAAATTTAAAGTGATAAATATGATGTTTTAATCAATCAGTAAAAAGATATTTAATTATGTGTATAATAAACAAATATGATAAATAAAATTATATCAATTCAAATAATAAGGGCAGTGACATTTATTACATAATATTAGTTTAATATAAAGCTTGATCCCTACCCTCAGTTAAGATAATTAAGGCAAATCACATGATAATATTTAATTAATCTATCACGTGATAAGTACTTTAAACTCAGGATCTAGGATAAATTTGCCTATAAATTATTAAAAATGCAGAAAACATATACTTATACTCGATAACAAACTTTTGATATTTACACTTAAATAGTTTCTTTAAATCATTAGAATTGTTATATAAAACTTATTTCATAGATTTAATATTTCAATAATTATTTTTTAATAATAAAGATTATTATATTGAATTCCAATTGTATAAAGACATATCTTTAATAGTAAAGCATTGCTGTTTTAATATATATTAACTGCAAAGGCATATCTTTTAATAAATTTTGTTGCAAGAGCTTTGCTATTTTAATACATATTGACTGTAGGGTTTGCATTAGCTAATATAACAGATAATATTGCTATTTCGTATTTTTTCACATTTTTTTTGCTTTATATTAAAGAAATAATTTTGTTCTTTTACAAAAAATGCGTTTAATTTTTATTTTAATATTTTTTTGATAAAAATGAGTCATCAAACCTACTTAACTGGTCCTAAATTTAATAAAAAGTTAATTTATAATTCACCAACTAATAAATATTAAGAATT